GGGGAGCTCTGCTCAGCCACAAGCCAGGCTGACGGCTGCCAGTATAGCAGTGGTGGTGGGAGCCTCTCCTGCCTCCTCAGCAGTGCTAAGGATGTCCGACTGCAGCTAGGCCTGCTCCCCGCTGGCAAGTGGACATCCCCCAAGGGCTCCCGGGCTGCCAGCGGGATGTCTGACTGCCAGCTTAGGCCCAATCCCCTGGGGAGTGGGCCTAAGCCAGCAGGTGGTCATCTCCCGAGGGGTCCTAGACTGTGAGCGGGCACAGGCCGGGCTGAGGGACCCCCCTGAGTGCACGAATTTTTGTGCACCGGGCCTCTAGTATATATATAAAAGGCTAAACGACTGGCCAACTGGCTGGTAGGTATGACGCGCACTGACCACCAGGGGTCAGACGCTCAACGCAGGAGCTGCTGAGCTGAGGTGACTTGGCAGTGGTGGTTCCTGGGTGACATGCCCTGGAACCAAAGAGGAGGGAGCCCGATTCCGGGGTGCGATTCCAGGGTGTGACACCTGAGAACTGCCCTCTGGCAATCTGGGACTCCTCGGGGGATGTCAGAGAGCTGATTTCGGCCGATCTCCACAGGCCAGGCTGAGGGACCCCACCTGCCGGAAGGACCCTGTTCACTCCACAGACGCCCTTCAAGCCGCAGTGTTGCCCCAGGTGCGGCCGGCCAGGGAAAGACTGCGGGAGGTTGGCTCCAGGGCATGTCCGGCCCGTGTCTCACCCAGTCCCGCCCTGCCAGCCACCTTCTAATTAATTTCCTTTCAATGTGCGCGAATCCCTTCACTGGGGCACTAGTTGTACTATAAAGCCATAGGTATCTGAAAAGCAGGTACTTTTTATTTTTCAATCAAACAGCTGAATTGTTCAGTACTTACAAGTAATACAAGTTAGTGGTATTTCCATATTCTTTCAAGTAAAAATATTTCCATCAAGACCCTTTATTCTTGGACACAAAGAAACAGCAAGATAAGGGGAGAAAGTCTATTTCCAGTCTGTTTTGCTATTTGGATCACATATGATAGAGAATAAAATAAAATAAAATAAAATAAAAGCATTCTTAATTTTGAAACTCTGGTCTATCTTAGGGCCCTGGAGTTCATTTGGTACCTGTTCCTAATGGCCTGAACAACCTCTTCCCTCCTCCAAACCTCACACACACCATCAGATATCATTCAGCCTGCTGTGCAGTGGAGGCTGCAAAGGAAAAGTTTAAGGCAGTTCCGGAAGTGACTAGGGCAACCAGCTCATCTTAGTTGTGGTTCCGACTATAGTCCATCTAAATTTTTACAGCTTTTGGCTTATGACAAGGCAATGGAAGGCCATTCTGCCACTTTACACCAATCGCGACTCTCCAGGGGCTCCCAGTGTGCCATTTGGATGCTATTTGGTTACATGCAGTTCTGCTGCTATCACTGAGGCACTCATCACCGCATTTACCCTAGCCAACTCTGACGATTACGGGATCAGGGTGGGAAACACTTCCTTTTTGGGAATGTCAATTAATATTCAAGGTAAACAAGATGACCCAGAGCTAGCTGGGATAAATCTGACTTCATTTTCCAAAGCTGGACTGACACCCGGGTACCCGGCTGAGACCTGTGCTCATGCATGCCAAACACCCTGGCCCTGTGTGGCAGCTGGGAACTGCAGGGCAAGGACACCTTTAGGATTCAAGGAGAAGGAGCCTTAGGAGGCAGCTGTCTCTTGGGGCCCTGGTTGGGAAATCATGTGACCAGTGTCCTGGGGCTGGAACGAGGTGCTAGAACGAGGTGCTGGAGCTGCAAGCCACAACTGCCACTCAAATATAGATTCAGACTCTTTCACCAGGTGGCAGGTATGAGGTCATTTGAAGCTGTAACCTTGGATGCTTTCGTAAAGCAGTGCCCCATTTTTACCCCAGGCAGGTGCTTTGGGTTCTGTCTCAGGGTCTTCCTTGTTGGTTTGTCATGATATTTTGCCAAATCTCTTATTTCTCTGATGCTGTCAAAATATGGGTGCTGCAACAGCTGTTCACACGTCAGTCTCTCAGCAGGATCCATGTGAAGACAGCCCTGAAAGAAGAGAACATTCCATCTTACTTTAAAAATATAATACTAACTTGTTAATGTAATTTCTTTCTCCTTTGTAAGATTAAACTTACAGTTTAATCAGTTGGAAACAAGAGGGGGCGGGAGGAAGTAAAGGGGGAAAAAACATCCAATCATGATTTTAGTTCCTTCCATGATCATTCCTAAATGAGAAACCACGTAATAGTTTCTAGAAATAGTAACAAAAAATCATTTCCCCACCTTGTTCTCTTCCTGAGAACAGTTGGTGCTCTGCCCCGAGGGAGTAGAATACACTTAGTCTGTTTAGTCCCTTGCATGTACTTTGTAAAAACTAGATGTGGTGCCCTAGCCAGTTTGGCTTAGTGGACAGAGTGTCGGCCTGCAAACAGAAGGGTCCCGGGTTCGATTTTGGTCAAGGGCACATGCCCAGTTGTGGGTTCGATCCCCAGTGGGGGGCCTGCAGGAGGCAGCCAATCAATGATTCTCTCTCATCATTGATGTTTCTCTCTCTCTCTCCCTCTCCTTTACTCTCTGAAATCAACAAAAGAAAAAAACAAAATAACTAGATGTGTATTTTTTTAATTTAAAAAGTAATACCTACATGTGGTAAAAATAAAATGCCTACAAGATTCAGCAAAGTCTCTCCACCACTCTAGTTCTTCCATTCCCCCTTCTGAAATCAGATGTTTTGTGTATGTTCCTTCAGAAATAGTCTATGCATTACAAGCACACGTGTCTGCATGGAAGCAGAGGCATAATATACAACCCTTTATATTACAACATTCTTAACTATTTGCTTTGCCGATAAATAGGCCATAGGGCTCACAATTGAATAGATTAAATCTCATGACCCCATACCCCAATGAACTGTCTCACATTTTAAATTATGTTATAAATGCATCAGTAAATGCATTAAATACTTTTTGAAATGGATGAAATATATTGACAGTAACTTGCAAATATTTTAATTGGCACCTCATTTACATAAGACATATTTCTAAAAATGTGTATGTATATAAAGTTTTGTATATAAAGCTTTAAAATCAAAATCTACTTCAAGTATACTAGGGAGTTGGCTCTTTAAAAGGATCCTATGGCTAAACATTTTTCGAAGAAAAGGATCCTTTTTAAAAACAAGCACCACTCCTCTGAAATTTCTATTTTGGGTAAATTTAGAAGTCAAATACAATGTTGGGTTTATTTAAAGTGGTGTGTGCCTCGGTTGGGCATCTTCCCATGTACTGAAAGGTTACTGGTTCAATTCCCAGTCAGGGCACAAGTCTGGATTTTGGGTTCCATCCCAGGAGGGGGCATACAGGAGGCAGCTGATGAATATCTCCCTCTCCATCTCCTAAAAAGCAATTAAAAAAAATCTTTAAAGTGAAAAACACTTACAGATGTTATTACCGTAATAGAATGGGACCCATTTTTAAAACTGAAAATATTTATACTTTTGAAAGGAGAAGAATTCTGAAAGGAACACTTTTCAATCTGTGGATTCCCCAGGGAGAACAGAGGCTGTGTGCTTCCTGGTTGGCTGGAAACCATGAGTTTACCTTCAAGAGCCCCAGGGCAGGATAAGAGATGTTTGGAAATTTTAATTCAAGTGGTTCCTGTTTAAAAAAAAAAAAAAAAGAAGAGGGAGGTTTTATTTGCAGCATGTATTCAAATAGGAGGTTACCTCAGATTGCATTTCTTTTGAGTGAGAGAATCATCTTCCTGGCACCTTCCTTGCCTCCTCCACCCTCTGCCCACCAGACCTGTCACCTGCAACAACCTCCCTTTGCCTGTTTCACAAGCTCCTTCTCTCCCCACCTCCAAATTGCTTTTCCAATTTTCTTCCTAACCACTCCTCTTCCTGGAAAACTGATGCAGGTAGCAAATTATGAGAAGACAACACTAGTGAAAGAAAAAAAAATTGTCAAGCAATTGTTATTTCTTTTTTTTTTTCTGCCTCAGATTATATAACTTGCCTTGCCTCAGATAATTTTTGGCACAAGCATTGGCTTTTATATAAAGGGGCCCAATTATTTGCATTTATTGACATTCACAAAAACGAAGCTTCCAAATAGATTTTTTGTTACCCAGGTGAACAGATGCCTCTTGGTTTTCTGAAATAAACTGCTGTGTCCTACCACAAGAGCCTGCTGTCTCCCTGATCATCCTGTTGTTTAAACTGTCTCCCAAGCAGATATTATCAAACTCTCTTTGGCCATGTAAGACCAGTCACATGCCGGAGTCAATGAGAAATAGCAAACAGGATAAAGTGGGAGGAATGCCCAATGTCAGACAGACAGACAGGCCAGTTAAAGAGATAGGCCACTGACAAAGAGGCTAATCAGAGACGGGTGCTGAGAAAATAAGAGCCAGTCATCTGAGTAAAACAGATGGCCAGCTGTGCTGAGTGCATAAAGGCGGCAGTGTGGCCAGGCTCCTCGGATGACACACTCCCTGGTGCTGCAAGCACAGTGTTCTTTTGGACAGGGAACCAGCCAGCAACAGCCAGTTCCTGAGTGTGCACTTATTAATCACGGATAAGAGACAAGAGCCTCAGATTTGGAATTCCCTACAATATATGGAGAAAAAAAAAATCCTAAAGCCCCCATCCCCCCAGCTTAAATCAACAATTTTCAACCGTGTGCTGAAAAAAATTTTAAAACATGCAATACCTGACCTTTTTTCTCTTAGGTTATCAAAGTAAAAGATGACAACAGCCAACACAATAGCTGTCCGGTGTGAATGAATCAAAATTACACCTATTTTTTTTGTCAGATCGGCAAAAATATATTTTTTTGTTGTGCATAGAATTTTAGCAATTGGTTCATATGTGCCAAGTTTGAAAACCGCTGGCTTAAATATTCCCCTTGCTATTTCTGTGTGTGGAATCTGAGCACGGCCGGGGATGGACCTGACATTGCAGACATTGAGCCCTGCTGTCTCAGCAACAGTGCCTGCAAGGCCGCCGGCTGTTGGCTGTGATTCGATGGGCCCATCCTGCCTGCTTGGCCAGTTTTCCCGGCCCCAGAAGCAGCAGGCTTCCCCCAGCAGCGTTACCGCCAGCAGAGGGACTCAGACACAGATGTTGAACCAGCACGTCCTCTCCGCTGCTTCTTCCTGTATTTCTGTCAACAGGAAATCCCCTGCAGGACAACCTCTGGGAAACCACGGGAAGCCTTTTACATTTATAAAACCGGGGTTGTTTCTGAGGCTTCACCGGTAGACAGGGAACAGGAAACCGCTAAGGGATATTTAGTGTGGAACTGGGAATGTCCAGGTCACCCGGGAGCCAGCTGGGTCACCTCCCACATGGCAGGTGACATTCCTGCCTCTGTCCCAGCGTGCTCCCAGCACGACCCACTTTTCCTCTTGCTGGTGGCTGCGGGAGTGGGAAAAGGAAGCCCTCGCTGTGAGACAGGCCAAGGGGAACAAAGCTCAAGTGGAACTTGATGAAACTTCCAGGTGGAAATCGAGCAACCCGAGGGTTAGTTTCCATTTGAAAGTACTTTCTGTGACAGTAAAAACTCAGTATTTCACAAACCTCCATTGCGCTCTGAAATGTTTTTGATGATCATATAGGCTCATTAGAAGACATAAAAAATATTTAAAACCATAAAGGAAGAAAAAAATTACTCCACCACAGAGAGATATATGCTGTTAATATTTTTGTGTATATCCTTGCATTCATTTATTTCACAAATGTAAAAAGCTTTGCATGATTTTCCAAAGGTTGTCAGATTTTTTATACTTATATTATAAATACATGTATTGTGTATTAAATACTTATTAAAATTATGTCAAATTATGTATACTGTTTCATAACCATTTTTTTCCATTTAGCAATACGTTGTGAACTTTTTTTAAGTGAATACATAAAATCTATTTTTATTGGCTGTGTGGTATTTCTATTGTAAGGCTATGTACCATAAGTTACTTAATCCCTTTAGTGATAGGACACTAAAGGAAATTATTTCTATTAAAGAATGCTATGTCTTTATGTCTTTGTCTAATGATTTCATTGGAATAAATTCTTGAAAGTGGACTAAGAGTATGCACATTTTTAATTTTTCAGTTTTTTTAGAATGAGTGCGTTCCCTACATTGGCCAAAGAGGACAGGCACCGGAGTGAGGCTGGCCATGCAAGTTCAGTAGAGCAGGGCTTTAGGACAATGCTGGATTTTCCTGGATGAGTCATTGTCTAAACGTTGATTGGCTCTGAGCTACCTACCTTCAACTGCTGAAAATGACAAAAGACAGGTGAGGTGAGGGCAGGCACTCTGCATTCCTGTCCATCATGCTCTCTCACCTCTGTCATCAGCAGCTTACTCTAAATTAGCACTGACGGCCAGGGTCTTGCTAGCCAATTTGCCCCAATTTCTTTTTTACTCTTAGACTGACCTTGTGTTATACCCAGATTTCAGGATCCCCAAGAGACCACATCAGGGAGCCAGCCGTGTCCTATGCAAAAGCAAAGAGTCTTTTATTCAAACCCGGGCTTGGCTCCCCTACCCTCCTTACTGACGCAGCAGCAAGTGGCAGAGAGACCCAGCCCTGTGGGGAGAGGGGTTTTATAGTAAGGAGAGGAGAGAGGACTGTGGGCCCTGCCGATTGGCCAGGCGCAAGTCGGTGCCTTGTTACACAGGATGTGGTCGTATCTATGGCGCGCACTTCC